AATTGTTTCAGAATAAGCAAAATCACAAGCTGTAACTTTACCAACTAAAACTTCTTTTGTCAGCCAGATTAAACAATACAAGAGTGGAGAATGCAAGACAGAACATACGTCTACTCAGCAGTGAAGAGGTTAATGAACGGATAGCTTTAGGATAAGAAATCAGAGCAAAAGAAGCAATTTGACTACATTATCTTGTGCTATCGAATCGCACTTGGTGAAGGAACAATCTGTATGGCCTTCCACACACACTTTATAGAATACTATCCAAACATATGTGTTGATGTATACGTTTTGATACTTTGAAAGTCTGACAGAGCCACTCACAAATTATTTTTTTCTGTTTTCTTTCTTCAGCATTGATTCTGATGGTAAGTTCTCATAAGGATAGCAAATAATGTTAACCTACTGTCCCATTCCCTCACCTTGTCTCCTTTACTCTGTCTGTGTGTGTCTGTCTGTGTGTCTGTCTGTCTGTCTGTTTGTGTCTCTGTCGGTCTGTGTGTCTGTCTGTCTGTTTGTCTCTCTCGCTCTCTATATTTCCCTCTCTCTCTTTCTCTCTCTCTTTCCCTCTCTCTCTCTCTCCCCCACACACACACACACACACACACACACACACACACACACACACACACACAATTAAGTGTCCTACACTTTCTGCATCTCAAGAAATAGGAAATTAAAGGGAATTATAGAACTTACGCACATGCTAGTTGTTTTTTTTAAAAGGGGGAGGAATTTTAAGTTTTTCAATTCACTAATCATATTAAAATAATATTTACATATAATTTCTCCTTTAGTTTAATATTACTAACCTGATATTACCATTTTCCTCCTTGTTTTGTACTATTAAGTGCTTTGATTGACTCATGGAATTAATGCATTATAGACAACTAGCTGGGTCCTCTTTTGAAGAAAGGAATGATCGGTGCATTAACATCAACTAAAAGTCATTGGTCTACTATATTTACACTCTACTGGAATGGAGCAATAAATCTTGAGAGATTAAAAACATTAGAAAGTCTAGATCTAGATCTACGCTCTGAAAACAAAATGCGCCTCGCGAAATATCACTCCCGGCACTTTCGTTGTAAAGGACATCTATGCAGATTTGTTTCGTTTCTCAGTGGAATAATCACAAAGGCCACGAAGGACGGGAACGTTTTGTCAAATATATTTGTCTAAATTCAGGAAAAGAATAAATTTAAAAAAATCGAGCTCTGTCATGGGGCCCTATCTATCTTTTTTGCCGGTACTTGCCAACTTTCAACTCCGTAGCTGTCGGAGTTTTATGGGAAAAAAACAACCAACGCGTGTGTCCAAGTTGTCTAATATACAATAGGTGCATCAATGGCCTGAGTCTACCTACTTGATCAATTAACGGCACATTTTATGCTTATTATGTCTTTCAAATGTTTTTTGCCGTCATCTGTAGCCTTTTTTCCCCCGTCATCTGTAGCCTTTTTTCCCCATATAAACGACGGGAGTTCCATTCCCGTCTCTCTCTCTCTCTCTCTGTCTCTCTCTCTCTCTCTCTCTCTCTCTCTCTCTCTCTCTCTCTCTG